TCACAAAATAAGGGTAATCCAAAACTAAAAGACTTATACATCCGACCAAATATTGTTACTAAAAGAATGACAGGAGGTTTAGAAGCTCATACCAATGGTTTTCGATATACTTCTGTTAGAGGCGATAAAGTTGATATTTTGTACAATAATATTAAAAATGCTTTCTTTCAACCGTGCGATGGGGAGATGATAATTCTTCTTCATTTTCATTTGAAAGTAAGCACTAATTAATTGCGCTAATAACTCTAATTGCAAATACTTATTCTATAATACATATTTTATATTTTTAGCATGCCATTATGTTTGGTAAAAAGAAACACGTAGACGTACAATTTTATACAGAAGTTGGTGAAATCACTACAGATTTAGGAAAACATCAACATATGCATGATCGTGATGATCTTGCTGCAGAACAATCAGAACGAGAGCTCAGGCACAAACTGAAAACAGCATTTAAAAGTTTTTGTGAAAAGGTAATATTTCAGAAAATAATTAATTCAATTTTTGTATTATATGAGTATTAATTATCATTTATCTATATTTTTAATAGGTTGAAGGTATGACCAAACAAGAAATTGAATTTGATACACCATTCAGAGAATTAGGATTTCCTGGTGCCCCATATCGAAGCACTGTACTTTTACAACCTACTAGTGGATGTTTAGTAAATCTCACAGAATGGGTACGCTTTTAAATTTCATTTTCGTTTATCACATAATCTTATATCACATGAAATTTAAACTTATTTTGAATTGCAGCCTCCATTCGTCATTACATTGGAAGATGTCGAACTTGTACATTTTGAAAGAGTACAATTCCATTTAAAAAATTTTGATATGATTTTTGTTTTTAAAGACTACCATAGAAAAGTTGCTATGGTTAATGCAATTCCAATGAACATGCTAGATCATGTTAAAGAATGGTTAAAGTTAGTTTTATTTATTTATTTCATATGTATTTATGTATATGCATATATATATATGTTGTTAATATTGCCTTACATCTTCTTTCAGTTCTTGCGATATTAGATATACAGAAGGAGTTCAATCTTTGAATTGGACGAAGATTATGAAAACTATAACGGATGATCCAGAGGGATTTTTCGATAGTGGTGGTTGGACATTTTTAGATCCAGAAAGTGATGCTGAAAATGAAGAAGTTGAAGATGAAGAAGAAGAAGAAGATGATGCTTATGAGGTTTGATATATTCTATTTATTTATTTATTTATTTATTAATAATTAACAAACAAATAAATAAACATTTAATTTATTTTTTGTTTTGTTTGATAAAGTATAGTAATATTTAAATTTTATTACAGCCATCTGATTTTGATAGCGAAGAAGAATCTGACGATGATTCAGAATATTCAGAAGCATCTGAACATTCCGATAGTGAAGGTAATTTGATAAATGAAATATATATTCTTTTAAAATCAAATTTATTTTCAATTATTTCAATAATAGATTTATATTTTATTTATAGAAGAAGAATTGGGTAGTTCAGAAGAATCTGGTAAAGATTGGTCAGATTTAGAAAGAGAAGCAGCTGAAGAAGATAAAGAAAGAGGAGAAGGTCGTTATCGTGATGATTACAATTCTTCTAATAAAAAGAAAAAATCGAGTCGTAGACAATCACCTTCACCTGTAAAAGACAAGTATGAATTATTACAAAATTATTACAAAATATATTGTTACAAAACATTATTATTATTATTATTATTATTATTATTATTATTATTATTATTATTATAAAATATATTATTTATTATTATTATTTTAAGGCACAATTCGAAACACAAAAGTTCCAGTAATTCCAAAAGTAAAAGTTCATCTAGCAGTAAAGATAGAAGATCATCAGATAAACACAGGTACGTGTATGCACACATATACACTTAATAATTTAATATATATTTATCATATATGTAGCGTTACTTTGTGAAATTCATTAATTCATGAAATGACTAGCCAAACTTTGAGATAATATCATGTAAATAATATATAAATTTACAAGAAGGGTATAGTTAAGGTATATGAGATTGAAATTTGATTCCAAGTATTATTATTATTAATTGGCATTAAGAAATTCGAAAGTTCATTGCCGCAAATACCAAATCTTGCCAGTATTCTCGTCCCTGAGCACAATCCCTCCATTCATTTTCATGATTTTACTGAATTATACAATTTAACGCCGACATACATATAAAAAAAAATATATATATATATATATAAAGTAGCATTTTATATTATAAGAAATAAATATTGAAAATATGTTCTACATTATTTTCTACTGACATATACATAGGGTGTCCTAGGGTTTACTGGCTAAACTACATGAGTATATTCTATAAGTAAAAAAATAAGAACAAAATATTATTTGAAATCCAATTAGAAATGAACAAATGAAATTAAAATAGGTAACAGTAGATATAACAGACTGATGAATTGGTTGTTAGGCTTTCTCATCCAAATATTACACTGAAATTTATGTTGAAAGTTTCTTTATCATATGAACGTGATTGGAACTCATATATTATGATTATTATTAGAATGAAATATTTTCTGTTTTGTAAAAAAAAAAAGTCGCTTTGTGTTAATCTATAAAATTTTTAATGAGAAAAAATTGACCCATACTAATTGCATTTACACATACCAACTTAACAAATTGAATTTATATATTTGTAATCTGTTGGAAGTAATTGTTGAATAATGAAATAATAATAAGCAAATATTTTTGGTCAATAAACACCAGGACACCCTTTATATATATATATATATATATATTTAAAGCAGTAGATATTGTATTGAGTTGATAATTCAATAATTAAAGAACGGATCGATCGCGGAGTGGGGGATCACACAAGAAAGTGTCTCCTTCCAAATCATCTAAACACAGGTGATTACCACCAATATTAACTATTTCATAAATATCATACTAATAATGCTTTATTTTTTCATTTTTTTCGCATAGTCCCAGAAAAAGTGATAAACATGATAGACATGATAGACATGATAGACATGATAAACATGATAGGCACAAGTCATCGCACTCTTCTTCTAACAGTAAGAAGCGGTCACGTGAAGACAGTACGGACAGAAGTAGGAGCTCCAAAAAATCAAAGTAAGTATTTGTACAAATAAAAACTTCTTATACATATATGTGTGAAACATTTAAGCAAGCCATTTATTTATCAAATTGATTAATTCTATAAAATAATATATATATATATATATATATAGAGACAAAAATTGATATTATTTAATAGTATTAAATATTGATGAAATATTATGATACTGAAATTTAAACAAATTCTAAAAGTGAAGTTATTTGCTTTGGCCTATATGAGCGGCTTAATTAATTGCTCTTTTAATAATTGAAAAAATAATATTTCAAACGATTAAGTACAATTATACTAATTATATGAATTTATTATAGGAAGTGAATGTACAACGGGGAAATTGTGGATTGAAAATTTGATACTTATATGAACTCACATATGTGCTGATTTTAACTGAAGCTTTGTCATCTCTGGTTTGGAAAGTAGACAGTATGCCTATAAGGATAGTACATTTTCTTGCATTGAAAATACTTATTTAAGGTGTTAAAATACGTATTTACGTACCGAATATATTGAATTCAAAATGTACAACAACACAATACAACAGAACAACACCGTAATGAGAAAGGCAATTAATGTAAAGTTGGTATGCAACAAATTTTTTGTTATTGGTCACAAATGTATATAAAAGTATAGTTTTTACCTCTAATAAACATATACAATCAGATATGTTATACATCGTACCTCAACTATATTGGTATTGTCATTGTCAAACCTATAAATAATAATAATAACGGTACTATTTTGTATTCTTGATTTATAATTATATCTCCTTTTTAATGTTACCACTGTACAGTAATACTGTAAAAGTATTTGGAGATTATTTTGTGTAAATAGTATTTTTACAGTTCATTCAAATTTTCTTTATCATGTTTTATATTTCTTTTTTTTTCCTTCTTTCGCTAACACTCAAGTATTATATTATTTATATTTTTTAACATAGTAAGACAAATATAATGTTCTATATTTTATAAGGAAGATTATATATTCATTATATGTGACATTTAACATAGTTGAATACAACAAGTGTTTTCATGCAAGAAAATGAACTATCTATCTATATGATATGCAGGAATGCAAGCATCCACATAATTCAAAAAACAAAAAAACAAAAAAATACAAGATAAGTAAAAGAAAGTTTCAAGTTTTCTTTGCTTAATTATGAAATTTGTACCTTTGCGATAGAAATAAATAATAAGATATTTATCATTAATATAAAAGTAATGTCACTCTTAAGATAAACGTTCCATACAAACATAAAATATTTAAAATCTATGATATATATGTATATATATATATCGATATATATATATATACATATGTCTAACAACAAATGATTTTTTTACATCGATAAATTGTTAAAATATTTATCGTTAATATACTTTAGTTATACTTTAGATATAATGTTGATATACACTTGAAGTATATTTATGCGCGTGTTTTGTATAAATGTACAAGAGCGCGCGTGTATTGTCGATATATTTTACATAACAAAAAAACATTCAAGAGTTCCAAATATGGCAGGCGAAAAAAAAAAATCCATTGAAGAAGATCCGTCTATTAATAAGGTAAATGTAGGATATAAGTGAAAGTACTCTCTGGCAAGTGGTATTGCTGCTTTCACCGCGCGATATTTCACCATCGTATACATAACTGAAGAAACCACGGGGAAGTCATTTCTACGGTGGTTATATTAATTACAATGACCCAAAGTTCTTCAAAAGTAAGCATATATTATATATATATATAAATAATTATATATCTATAAAGACAAACAAACATGAATGAAAAAAAAGATCAGTCATTGATTATTTTAATGCGTTTATTTATAAAAATGTAAAAGTTGAATATATTATATATTATAATTCACGAGAAAGAGAGAGAGAGAGAGAGAGAGTAATTTATCAGCTTATTTATAAATACTTTTATATAAGTACATATTAAAATACTTATTAGAAGTAATTTTGTACAGTCAGATAAGGAAAAATCGACACAACAACACATTTAATATGTTGTACCAATAAATATTCTAATTTCGTCCTATTTGATCAATTTGAGTTTGCAGATTGTTAACAACTTCTGGTGGTACGTGTTCTCCAAGTATTTCAAAAAGATTTATCCTTTGATCTCCAGGAATTGATTCATATGCAGCTAATTCTATTCCTTCTTGAACTTTTTGTATCGTCGCATCTTTAGGAATGAGATAGGTATTTTGAGCTTGTCTAATTGCTTCATTACTGAAGACTTGACCATCCTTTTGTGGGTATGCCGATGCGATCGTTATTACGACGAGAACGATCGAGACAATCGTGTGAAATTTCATCTGAGAATAAACAACAAAATATAAATATATATATATATTCTAAAAATATTCATGTTTAATAATAATATTCAATGTAAGAATAAATAAATACTAATTTTAATTTTACATTTTGATAACTTTTCATTCTTTCGAAAATAAATCATAAGTTTTTGTTTTTAATTATATCACACCCGATATATATATATTTATCTATATTTAAAAAAATATATACTCTATATTAGAATCAATTAAAAAATATAAACGCACATTTTTTAATGGAACATTTATTAAAAGTTAAATATGCAATTTAAAAAGAAAATTAAATTTGTTGATTTATAATAAAATTCTTCACCAAACATCAATTTATAAGAATAATAAATTGTCTGGTATTTAAATGAGAGCGTATATTATATACAAACAAAATCTTATTTTTATGTTTGAAATAAAATTTAGAAATATATTATAAAAAGAAAGAAAGAAAAGAAAAAAAAAACATAAAACAAATGATCTTTTTATCACAGCATATAATGCACACTCACGGTTGATATTTTCACGGCAGAGAGCAAAGTACTGTTTTACAGAATGATTCCAGAAGAAAGGAACTAAGCGGAGCGATGGTAGAATGTTCCTTATATACTTGAAGCCTCAGGTAAAGCAGGTGAACGCCACTCCCATTAATGGTTAATGAGAAATCAACGTTTTAAATTTTAATTTAAAACCGGATCAATCACTTCTAATTCATTTGAATCTCAATAAGATTGCTTTTATAGTAAAAATTGTTCAAACTTGTACTAATCTCGATATTCATCTCCTTAATTGTTTAACAATAAAAAAAAATATTAAAAAAAAAAAATTACATTTCCACTGTGATGTAACATACACATATTATATAAATGTTTTGATAATAACATATATGATACAACAAATTATTTAATTAATTAATTATACACAATTATAATTTGTGTATGAAATTGCAACAAAATTTTGGGGTTTTTTTTTTTTATATATTTATTTTTTAAATAAATGATTGAATGTATTTCGTTATTAAATGTATAATTTTAAGTGTTAAATTTCTTTTAAATAATCTATTAACAGTTAGAATTCGTCTGTGCATTGCTATTTGATAAATTTACTGTATTTTGACGTATATGTGTGTACGTTTGCATGTATTACGTTCGACATATACATCGGATGAGTGTATTATTTGGACGAGTAGAAAGTGATGCAATGAAAGAATCCGGGGACAAGTCACATTTTAGACTTTCATTTGATCATTCTTGAATCGTAACACAGTTTTTATTAAAAGAATTTTAAGAAATTTTTCCTATGATGTTTGTAAATCCTTGTAATATCGTTTTCAAATCAAAATTATTTGATTTAAATATATATATATATATTTAAATATATATATGTTTAATTTGTATTCATAAATAATTTTCATAATATTTATTTTATATAAATGAGAGATCATTTATATTCATAATAGATCATTGAATTTTTTAATACTTTTATAGATTCCCCCCCCCATAACGGTTTTATAATATAACAAGTATAAGATGTAAATAATTTCAATAGTGAATACACATTGCAACATATTTATTATATGTGTATTTTATGAATATAAATAATTTCGATAGTTTGATTAGATCTTTTAGAGAAATTTATATCAAATAGCTGTTTAAAGTATTTTTGTATACATATATGTATGGATCATTTATGTTAATGAATGATTAATTATTCACAAATAGAATATACCTTAAGAAGAAATATCAGTATCGTTTTCTCTAGAAAAAGATCTCATTCAATTTTAAATAGAAATTATTTATTCTAGGATGTTTTCTTTCAAGAAATAGTCTTATAGAAGAATTTTGATGTATTCAATATGATAATACATAAATATTCATTTTATAAAGTATATGCTGGAAATTTGGCCATATTTGGTTTTTGCATATCTATAAGGAAATAAATAACACCAGCAAGACCTGAAATAGTACATATAAAGAAGACTGTTAATTTTTATATATATATATTAGTTATTTAACAATAAAAAATTTATCATATACCTTCAAACAAAGAAAATGGTCTGTCTGGAATTCGATTTTGATTATGTCCGTAATCAAAACACCATTCTGCAAATTTACAAGCTCTATACAGATGTTTTAGATCCTGAAAAAAAAAAAAAACAGAAGGTTTTTATTTGTTATTAAACATAATTATAATCAACATAAAATATAATAAAGATACTTTAGATATTCTTTATATAGACTGTTCACAGAAAAAAGATTAACTCTATCCCTAAAATTTTTAAAAATTGAAATATAAAATCACTTAATTGATACTTATTATTAAATTTACCAAATTATTATATTAATATTAAAAATAATTTACTTATTACGTACAGCTATTGAACAATATAAATCTTATGACAATGTAATTTTATGAAATTAAACAATTTGGCAAAAGAGTTCATGAAAGAAACTAAAAATTAATAATTAATGTAAAAACCTTCGTTTGTTGAAATAGATGTAGAAAGGTATATGCATTTCCAGAAACCCCATGACATATTCCATATCCTTTTTTTAACAAACCCCTTGCCCAAATAACTTCTCCACATTGTAAAGCAGTTTGTAAAAATTTCTCATCCGAATATATCTGTAATTAGAAATACAATTAAAATTTCAGAAATGATTTCTTATCTATTAACATTATCTGACAATGAGATACGTGACCTCATAGGCAAGGCAAAATAACATGGTCATTCCTGGAGCTCCATGACACCAGTGTATTAATTTATCTGTGTCACTTCCTACAGAAGAAGGAAAATTTCCTGATGGATATTGTAAATCTTGAAGATAATATAAAGCTGGTAATATTTCATTATTTAGTTGTTCTTCAGTCAAATAATCTCGAGCCTGCCAACAAAGAAATAAAATACAACAATATATAACAAAACTATAAATCAAATATAATATTATAATTAATATTATATTTTAATTATTGTAATATACTTGTAACAGCATGTAGAGAATACCAGCCAGTCCATGAGCTCCACCAAGATATTCAGAATTATGCCACGAATACATTAATGGAGTCTTGTAACGTCTTGATTTGGAATATATATTTCCAGATTTTATTATACAAGAAATGACCTAATAAAAACATTTCATAATATTAAAGTACATTTTTATAGAAACATTGTATGTAAATAATTAATCTATTGATTATTACTATGAAACACAATACCTGTTTGATAATATTACTTTCTATAGGAGCTGGGGATATATTTGAATTTACATAAAGTAGAGAGTAAAGATAACCTGCTCTTCCATAAAGTAATTCATTATATACTTTGTCGTGTTCTTTTACAACTTGAGATGATAATGATATTAATCTATATATATATATATAAAATAAAAAAGAAAATCATTTCATTAACATGTATTCGTATATACGTTTCTGATTTTTAATATTATACGTACTCGGATATAGCATTTTGATAATCATCCTTACATCCATGTTTATGAAATAGAACTGCACCAAGTGCTAATGGTCCAGATAAACCAGTTAAAAAAGTCATTTCTTTTCCCCATTTGAATTTGTCGATACTGATTTGCAACAATTCTATTGCTTTCTAAGAAATAAATAAATTCGTTATTTTATTATTAAAATGGAAACACATCGAATGGATAAGTATATAATTTTAGGATAATTATTAAGTATACAACATACAGAATAATATGAAGGTTCGTTGAAAGTATCAGCATAGATTTTAAACATATTTGCAATACCAGCTATTCCTGTGTAAATAGAATGATCGTCATTGTAAGTCCAAGTTTTTTTATTTTCTTCTAATTTTTGTAACAATTTTTTCGTTTTTTTTGTCAACAAAACTTTAAAATTGTCTGCTATCTGTAAAACAATAACACAATGAATATATATATATATATATATTATATTTTTATCATCATAATTGTTATTCAATAATAAAATATAATTATAAAATTTGTTTATTACAGTATTTTCTTCGAGATTCAATACGGTAGTAGAAGATGAATTTGTATAATCCAGAAAAGGATTTTTATAATTTCGTGAGGTCTCCATTATGTATCTACCGGTTATAGCTTGGGTATAAAACACCAAATTTCTTATTATTTGTTGAATTTTTACTACCTCTGGAAATATTATATTTAATAAATTGTTATTATTTATAAGAATAAATTATAAACTATGACACATTTATTTATTAATTATATTAATATTTTCATACATTTATATATATATATATATATATATATATATATATAGTTTACACACAATCACATTTTCTTCTTGCTTTTTTATTAATCGATACTTTGGTACGCATTCGCATAGATTTTGTTAGTTTAGCTTACGATACACAATTTATTCAATAAAAATGAAAATCGTAATATAACAAACTTATTATATATGTATTGTTAATTAGATATTTAATCATGATCAAATATACGATGTAGAAATTTATTACTAAAAATAATTGTTTAAAGAAAAATATATCTAAACTCGGTCGGTAATGAATAACAACTAATTTATCGATGGAGTTTGAATTGTAAATACGCGCGAAATACAAAATTCGAAAGCTCGGCGAAATAAATTTAGATTTGAAGATTTAAGCAAGATATCGTTGTAACATATTGTTACGATTATTCTCCATAACGCTTATCATCCATATAAGAATTAACTTTGGAGAAAATTGATAAATCAGTTTAACCATGCCGATTAATAAAGAATGAGGAATGAAGCCTGTTGTAACAATTTCCTTTCCGATCGTTTTAATAGCACTTTGAACATATTCATCTGGAGTTGGTATCATCCAGCCAGCTTTTGGAGAATCCATCATGTGATTGGTAATGGTTCCAGGTAAAAGACATTGTATTATTATACCACGTTTGCCATATTCAATTTGTAAATCTCTGCTGAATTTTAAAACGTATGCTTTCGTTGCTGCAAAAACAGTCAACAATGGACATGGCATCAGAGCCACACTAGAAGAGACATTGACTACAACACCTTTACCACGTAAAACCATCTGTGGTAATACTATTCGGCACATGTTCGTCACAACAACGATATTGCAATGTATAATATTCATATAAATTTTATCTTTATGCGGTAGATCCAGGAAATACTCTGGATGGGGATAGGAAATACCGAGATTATTCACCAATACGCCCACTTCCAAATTTAATATCTCTTTTTCTATTGTACGATAAGTTTCCATTCCTTCAGAGAAGTCTAATCTTATTATTTTCGTTCTAACATTGCACAGAGTTTCTATTTCGTTGGCAAATATTTTCAAACTTTCAGTATCGGGACTTATTAAGACAACATTTAATCCTGCTTTTGCAAGTGCTTCGGCATACGCTTTTCCAATGCCATGTGAACAACCAGTTACCATTCCCCATTTACCCATCGATAATAAATCGATTTTCTTGTCATTAGAAAAGTTATTGATTATTTTACTTATTATGCCGTGATAAATTCTGTAACTCCAATAAAATATCGTTAAATAACCGATTTTTTCTATGACACCCATTGCGTATGAGTTTGTTAATTATAGAGCACAAAAACGCATTTGTTCATTCATTTTCCAATGATTTTTAATTTCGGTTACATCAAATATGTCACTGATCGAAAATGACAAATGTTCAAATAGATTTTTTTAATAATAAGTTTTATAAAATGTGGAATCGTGTCCAATAAAGTTGCAATTTTATCGTATTAATTATATCATTTTAAGAGATAGTCATTTCATAGAATTGCGAGTTTGCAAATTAAGTCTATATAGTATAACGCACTTATTGGTTATTTTTTTATTATATGAAATGAAACAAAATAAACGAATTGTTAATATCATATAATTCGTTTCAAAAAACAATTAATCTACATCTTCATGTAACTCAACCGACTGTACAAATGATTTTTTTAACCAAAGTCGAATAGAATCAATTTGTTGACGTAAAGCTAATGAACTTGTACCACCAATAACGTCGTATTGTTCAACGCTTCTTTTGAAATCCCATATACATTGAACGTCTTTCTCAAAAATGTGACTAGAAATTTGGAAAATTATGTTTACAAAAAATGTTAATACGTTAAACACATAAAAATACTGTAGTTTTTTGTTTGATGTTAAATACATCAAATGAATTACCTTATTTTCTGTAATTTTTCTAATGGCACATCGCATAATGGTATTCCTTCGGATTCAGCAAAATTTACAACTTTGCCAGCCAAATGATGTGCTTCTCTGAATGGTAACTAAAATATTGGAATATTCAAAATCATTCGATAGATTATTGTTCTCCATTTTTTTTATATTCAAATGTATGATACTTACCCCTTTCCGCACAAGATAATATGCCAAATCGGTAGCCAACATATCGGTCGTTAAAGCATCGTTACACTTTTTTTTATTTATCGTTAAAGAACTTAATGCTTTTTCAACGATAAGAAATATATTATTTAACGTATCGATCGTAGAAAATAATGCCTCTTTGTCTTCTTGAAGATCTTTGTTATATGTAGATGGAATACCTTTGAGAGTCGTCATAAAACCTGTGCACTGCAAACCATACATCATTAGTTATCTTTTTTCTTTTTAATCGTGTATATAATCTTTTCAATTAATAAGATATATATATATATGAATAATTAACAGATTGAAAATGTGTAAGAGAACCTTTCCAAGTAAAGTGCCACTTTTTCCACGTATTAGTTCCATCAAATCAGGATTACGTTTTTGCGGCATTAAACTACTACCAGTTGAAAATTCGTCGGAAAATTGTACAAAACCAAATTCGTTGGTATTATAAATGATTAAATCTTCAGCTAACCGACTTAAATGTATCATCGTTAAAGATGACCAGAAAAGAAATTCAGCTGTATATCGATAAATTATTTTTAATAATATTATCATTATACAATATAGATGATAAATAAAAATATCTTACCAACGAAATCTCTATCGGAAACTGCATACATGCTATTAAAAGTAACGTCATCAAAACCAAGATTAGTTGCTAATAATTGTCGATCTATTTTAAATGGATTTCCAGCAATGGCTCCGCTTCCTAACGGTAATATATTTACACGTTTACGAATTTCTTGTAATCTTTCTAGATCAGCTTTTGCGTACCAAGCGTAACTGGATTATCATAATAAATTATTATCATACATTGTATTATGATTTTTTTTATTTATTTTATTTATTGTGAGTAAGTAATTTTAATATTCAAACCTAAGAAGCCAGTGTGACCATTTAATTGGTTGTGCACGTTGCATATGCGTATAACCAGGCATAATTATATCGTTATCTTTTTCAGCACGATTAATCATTGTCTACAAATAATTGATTTTTAATACAAATCACATTATTTCATTTAATACTGTGTGTATATTATAATATTATAAATATATAATAATATTATTATTATTATTATTATTAATTGGCGTTAGAGGAACTTGAAAGTTCATTGCCACAAATACCAAATCCCGCCATTCATATTATAATAATATTATAAAACTAATATGCACAGTATTAATGATTATCATTAATAAGTTTAATTTTCAAAAATATAATATAAACAAGCGTATATACCTCAATAAAGTTAATAATTCTTAAATAAAGTTTATCTATCGATTTTCGAAGATACAATCGAGTATCTGTTATTGCTTGATCATTTCGACTTCTGCCAGTGTGCAATTTTTTGGCTACGTCACCGATTAATTCCTAATCATGATAAATATTGATTAATTTATCGATTGTTTTCAAAATGATTCTTTGATGATTACTTTATTATAATTATTCGTTCTAAGTTTACCGTTAATCTGCGTTCATTTGCACTGTGAATATCTTCGTCTTCTTGGTGAATGATAACGAATTGATTGGTCCTCCATTCGTTCAAGATCTATTAACATTGAGTTTTGTTTTTTAACTTTTTTTTTTAAATGAATTTAAAATACGTTCGTTTATATTTGTTATTTGTTAGACCTTTTCAAAACCATTCTCGATAAGTTGTACTTCTTCTTCTGTTAACAATCCAGATTTGCATAGTACATTTGCATAAGCGATACTTCCCTAAAGATATAATTAAAATAATATTAAATATATATATATATATATATATATATATATATATATATATATTAATAATATAATAAATAAATAAAGATAATTAAATATAATAAAGATAAATTTTAAAAATTAACATAGCACATTATGTGAATTAATTTTTTAAATTATCATTCATTTGAAATCAAATTTTTATTTTCTTATCATTTTCCTTACCTCAATATCTTCCTCATATAAACGTTTATCGAATTCAATGGATGCATTTAGGTCATGAAAATCAGGATCGATTTCTTGTTTAAAACGACCACCCCATAATTTTTGGCATTTCTATTTCATGTGTATACAAATGAAAAAAATTACATATATTATTATTATTAACATCAAGAAAATCAGATTATGTCAATAGTTATTACTTGCCAGAAAACTTTAAAACAAATCTATTGTTCTGAAACAATCTTAAATAATTCTTACCCGTGTCGACATGGTGAAATTATGAATTATAACTGAATACGTAAATATGATATGGGTCGATGTTTTCTATCACAAATCTCAGTTAATATCATTTATTACGCAATTTTCACAGAACATTTCATAAAAATATAACATTATCACAAAGAGATAAATAATTAATGCTAGTGAACTCTATGCGTGAATATTCAAAAAATATAAATAATATAATATATAATTATAATTTATATTACTATATTATAATGTATATTATTAATTATAATTATAATAATAATATATTTAATAATATATTAATTATTATAATATT